GCTTCAGCAATTTGGCAATTCGGCACTTCGGACAAAATTTGTCCAAATTCACATTCACATGTCTATAATCTAGTATTCACTACTACAACAATGGACATGTGCTAAAGCCATATACATGTACTTCATTACAACAAAATGACAATCATTTCTGTTCTTGGATGAATATGTTTAAATATATTGACAACAACACCTCACAATGCATTCCATATATTTATGGTGCTGTAGGTAAAATCTCCATTCATAAAGTCTCAATGGATGACCTCATTCTTTTATTGTATATTTTTGTTAATGAACAAATTCAACATACAGATATAACCCTCCGCAATTGCTATTTATTCTGTCCTTTATAAAAATGTATAACTAATTAGATTGCCTGTCCATGTTAACCTACATTACCATGATGCTCAGCCAAACTTTGCTCCAACAGAATTAAATTAGTTTTCTGAAAATTTAATTTCTTCCAAAGCTTGCTAATTTTACCTAACACACCTGAATTAATCAACATGTTATATCTATTGTAGCTCATCTGTGGCAAATAATATACAGTATACACCCTTACATCTTTTTAAGAGTTCCACAATCATTGTTATGTCATACAACATTGATTAAGCAATTAAGGACTGCTTCTATTCTAATAACTATGAAACCTGCCTTGTTTTATGTATGCGTATATGAAAAATATGAAGAAAAAAAAACACATCCAGCAGTGTTTCTATTAGAGGGATGGAACACTTGCAAGAACTATTTTTTTTTCTATCACTAGACAATGCACTTAGCTGATCTTACTATCTCAAGGTCAAACAAGAATGAAAAGAAAATTGATCCTTTTTTTATTTTTTTATACAAAATAATGACAGGACAAATAATTGTACATCAATTTAAAAGCCGACTTTCCACAGAGCAGAACACAGGTCACAAAGCCATTGTGCATTTTATTGGAGTATTGATGCTACATACTCAAAGAGACAACTGTGACTTCAAGCTGTGGTCCAATTTCAGACTTCAACTATTTCCTTTAAAAAAGTGTGAATTAAACTAAGCCAACGCTAAGAAAACAATCTATAAACAATAGGCTACCCCTGCAGCGCAAAGTATATGGTGTAGAAAAACTTATCAGAAATAGTTTCAAAGGTCTAGACCATCTTCAAAGAAGCAGATTAGAAGAAATATGCAATGGAGCAGAACAACAAGCGTTTATGATATATTAAATATTCACTGAAAATATCCAGATTTCAAAATGTTTTGATAAAAAAAAATTATGGTTAAAAAACCCTCATAATTTGTATGCTTTTTATAGTATCTTGAATTTGTACAGCAGCAATAAATAATTATGTATGTGCATTAAAGGCCAGCCTCAATTCAAATGTACCTAGCCTTAAACAAATATTTTAATTGTTTTACTGTAATTTACGTTGCAGGGTTAAAAGGACAGGACTAGAGTTGAGTGAACCCGAACTGTAAAGTTCGGGCTCGTACCGAACATTACGGTTTTTGGACCCGGGACCCGAACACGGACATTTCACTGTATGTTCGGGTTGGAGTCCGGTGTTCGGCAATTTAATGGCACGTTTTGAAAGGCTGCAGGGCAGCCAATCAACAAGCGTTTGACTTGTGTGCCCTTAGAAGCCATCACAGCCATGCCTACTAATGGCATGGCTGTGATTGGCCAGTGCAGCATGTGAGCTATCTACCAAAAGGCTGAAAGACCTAAATTGGTCTTTCAGCCACATTTACTAATACTAAGTAAAGATTACTTAGTATTAGTAAATTCAGCCCGAGTAGGGGCATGTCTAGTAAACAGTGAGCAGCCAGTGGCTGCTCACTGTAAAAAAATAAATAAAAACCTATTGCCCCCCACCCCTGAGTGGTGGGTGGGGGCCCTAAATAAGATTGAGGGGGTACCTACTGTCCTCCCCCCTGGCCCCCACCCCTGCGCAGTGGGTGGGTGCCCTAAATAACAATGAGGGGGGGACCCACTGTCCTCCCCCCCCCACCCCTGCGCGGCAGGTGGAGGCCCTAAATAACAATGAGGGGGGACCTACTGTCCTCCCCCCGGCCCCCACCCCTGCGCGGCGGGTGGTGGCCCTAAATAACAATGAGGGGGGGACCTATTTTCCTCCCCGGCCCGACCCCTGAGAGGCGGGTGGGGGCCCTAAATTTAGAATAAGGGGGGGACCTATTGTCCTCCCCCCGGCCCCCATGCCTTTATAAGCCCGCACGGAGCCCTCCAGGTGAAGATGGATTTTTTTTTTTGCACTCGTTTTTTTTTTTTTTAAAGTGCGTCGATTATTATGGATTTTTATTTGGCCTTTTTGGGGGCTGAAAAAATAAGATTTTAGAAGAAAGAAGACATCAAATGGTAAGTTTATTTTTTATTTTTTTTTTGCAGGTATCTAGCTTATTTTTAGGATGAGGGGGGTAGGTAGGGGTTATTTTTTGGGGATTGAAGTCCCAGTGGTGTTTGTGGCATCAATTTAGGACCCCTACCCACCGCACAGGGGTGGGGGCCAGGGGGGAGGACAGTAGGTCCCCCCCCTCCTCATTGTTATTTAGGGCCCCTGTAACGGGTACCTCCGTTGAAGGATGCTCCTAGCGCTTCCTGAGGACTCCAAGCACTGCAGCAGACACCACAACCACCAAACCGGAGAAGCATACGAATGCTCTCAAGCATATGAATGCTGTAAGCAGCTGAACAGGAAAAGCATACAATCAGCTTACACTCCTGGCAATCAGCATACAATCCAATTCTCCCAATAATGAGACGACACTTCGTTTTGAGGTCAAGCAGAACTGACTGTATTGGCACATACAGCCAACTCTTTTATTCACAATCCACAAACATAGTACTGCCCACAGGGTCTTGAAATACAACCAATCAATCCGTACAATACACACAGACACTCCCACACAAAATCCTCCCCTCTGCCTGTGATATGATTACTGAACACAATGGTTAATATAATTATCACAGGCAGAGAAATGCAGTATCATAAAACAAATCACAGGGACCCCAAAACATGCAATAACCCCATAAAAGTATATTCTTGGAACCGGGGGATCTGGGTGAACCACATATCCAAAATTCACCCAGATCCGTTCAGTACTTTGGAAGATACAGTTTAATGCGGATTCCGCAGAACATATGCAGGCTATATTAAAAACAATTACTGTATAATGTGTCCCCTGTTGTATAGTCCAAAACCACTGCACGATGTCTCTGTGCACCAAATACCGGCGAGATGGCACTGTGTTGAAAAGTCCAAACAGTGTCTGTGAGTTAAAATGGCCGCCATCCATTGTTCTCACCATGTGCCTCTGATACATGAAATGGTGGCCACCCAGTAACTCCACAGTATGTCCCTAGATGGTTCTTAAAGGGCCAGCAGCAGCACAACACAAATCCATTATGCCCAAATCATATCTTTAAAGGGCAATACATCCTAGGGGCCATAGTCACATGGCAGGAGGCTGGCAATCAGTCTTCTCCAATGCCCAGTGGCAAGGTCAGTTTCGTCACAGCCCCCACCTACCGCACAATAGGTCCCCCCCTCATTGTTATTTAGGGCCCCCACCCACCGCACAGGGGTGGGGGCCGGGGGGAGGACAGTAGGTCCCCCCCCTCAGTCTTTTTAGGGACCCCATCCACCGCACAGGGGTGGGGGCCGGGGGGGGGAGGACAGCAGGTCCCCCCTCCCTCATTGTTATTTAGGTCCCTTTTATTTTACTTTAGGGCCCCCATCAGCCGTTCAGGGGTGGGGGCCAATAGGTTTTTTTTTGTTTGTTTTTTACAGTGAGCAACCACTGGCTGCTCACTGTTTACTAGACATGCCCCTACTCACAGTATAGCGAGTAGGGGCTGAATTTACTAATACTAAGTAATCTTTTCTTAGTATTAGTAAATGTGGCTGAAAGACCAATTTAGGTCTTTCAGCCTTTTGGTAGATAGCTCCCTAATACCGTGGGAATTAGGGAGTTATCTACTAAGCAGCTGCTTATTTTATGTTATTTTAAGTGATTTCCCTATCCACATTTGTTTGCAGGGCACTTGTCCTACTCTTACCCCCATTTCACTTACTTTTGCAGCCCTCTAGCCCTTTCCAGGACTTTTTTAGAGGCATTTTAGTGCCCAAAAGTTTGGGTCCCCATTGACTTCAATGGGGTTCAGGTTCAGCCCGAACTCAAACTTTTTGATGAAGTTCGGCTGAACTCGGCGAACCTGAACATCCAGGTGTCCGCTCAACTCTAGACAGGACCACTACACCCAAACCACTTAGTTGAGTGGTCCTTTAACCTACAAATCCATTTGTTTACCTCTCTCCACTCTCTGTCTATTTGATACACTTGGAGGGGTGGACAATTTAAAAGAGGTTATTTAAAGCTGCACTGATATTTTTATATCTGTAGGTTTCTTAATAATTAAACTCTCCACTTTGCCATTTTCTTTTTTTCTATATCTATTGTGTTTTGTTCTTTTCCTGGAGCTCAATATCTGTGTGCGGCCACTTTGTTCTCCTCTGTCCATGATGTCTACAGTTTGTACATCTTGTACATCTTTTGGATTCCTTTGACTGATGGATTTGTGGGTAAATTGGCTTAGCTACTGAAAAAGAACCTTACTTGAGTACTGCCCATCACATTCTACATAATAAAATAAAAAAATAAAAACCTTCCTTTTAGTATGTATTTAAAAAAAATAAAAATGGAGGGAAAGAACTAGAACAAATTATTTTTAAAAAAAGGGGGCGGAGCCAGCAGCCGAACCGACAGGTCGCATCTGCAGAGAGCTCCTGGCGATATCGGCCTAAAAAGACCAATTAAAGGACCACTATAGTGCCAGGAAAACATACTGAGGGGACCCCCTCCCGCCCGGCTCTGGAAAGGGGAAAGGGGTTAAAACTTACCTTTTTCCAGCGCTGGGCGGGGAGCTCTCTGCCTCCTCTCCTCCTCCGTTCCTCCTCCTAGGCTGAATGCGCACGCGCGGCAAGAGCTGCGCGCGCATTCAGCCCGTCGCATAGGAAAGCATTTACAATGCTTTCCTATGGACGCTTGCGTGCTCTCACTGTGAAAATCACAGTGAGAAGCACGCAAGCGCCTCTAGTGGCTGTCAATGAGACAGCCACTAGAGGAAACAGGGGGAAGGCTTAACCCATTCATAAACATAGCAGTTTCTCTGAAACTGCTATGTTTATGAAAGAATGGGTTAACCCTAGCTGGACCTGGCACCCAGACCACTTCATTAAGCTGAAGTGGTCTGGGTGCCTAGAGTGGTCCTTTAACCTTGGAAATATCACCCCCCAAAGCACCCCAGCTGCCCACACAAGAAGCAGTAATGGGCAGGAAGACTAAAAAATCCAAGCCCGATCTGCCCCGGCCGGGCGCCAGCATAGGAGACCTGTGGCGGCGGGCACAAGGCGCACCAGAGCCTGACATGGCCGCCTACATAGAAGGCTTAGAAGACTCAGATGACCTGCTCTCTGACCCAGAAGAGCCCTGCTCACCTGCAAGGTGGTCGCCGGAGAAGCCTAACCCAAAGCCGTCCACGCAGCCTGACACAGCTCCGGTCACGAAAGCTGAAATGAGGGAGCTGCTGGCGGAGCTCCGCCGAAATATTCAGGAGGACGTAGCTGACATGCGGAGAGACATAAAGGGCCTTACGGACCGCGTGGACACCGTGGAGCAAAACTCCCACACGCATACCAGGCAAGTGACCTCCCTCCAGCAGGAGATGAAACTGCTGCAACAGCAGCACTTGAAGGTAGAAGGGGCTATGGCAGCAATGGAAGACTCACGACGTGCCCAGAACCTTAAGGTCAGGGGCATTGCAGAATCAGTTCCAGACTCTGAACTCCCCCACCTCATGCGGCGCCTGGTGAGTAAAATACTGCCACCAAAGCAAGCCAAGGGAGTAGGCCTCGACGGCATATTTAGAATCCCTAAACCACCAACGGCCCCATCAGCAGCAACTAGGGATCTAATAGTCAAATTCCAGAAGCGACAGGACAAAGAAGCAGTAATGGCCGCCATTAGGAACACTACACCGCTCACCTTTGAGGACATGACTCTCTCCTTTTAACCGGACTTATCTAGGGGGACCATGACCTGGCGCTCAACCCTTAGGCCTTTCACCACCCTGCTCCGCGAGCGAGATATCAGATACAGATGGCGCTCACCCCACAAGCTTCAAGTGCTCCAGGGAGACACCACGTACCTCATCGCGGACTTGCAAGAGGCGGAGGCCCACCTCCCCACTCTGGGACTCCCGGCAGACGCCATACGACGACGCCTCACAAACCCCAAACCACACAAATGGAATCTGGCTACCTCCAAACCTTTTGTTCCTCGGGGGCTCACCCACGCTGCACAGACTGTAGCCACCACCTAAGTGCTTCCGAAGGGGATGGCCGAGCCTCGCCGGCTACTCACACTGTTGTATTGATCTTCTTTTCCGTTAATTTACCACACTACGTTTGCATTTCATTTTATATATAGTTTATGGTCTGGGACAGACCCACTTAAGAGGCTCCCATTCACCATGGGCGGCACTGGGGCAGCACAATGCCATCAACCACACCTGGCCCAAGACGGACTGACACAGGGGCTATCTGCGTCCCCGCAGGCCCTGCAGTAGGGACACTGCAAGACCACACACTACAGTATGTTTTACAGTATGGCCCTGGCAAATAGCAGCAGAGCCGGTTAGCGCAGGGGAGCAAACACTGCAGTATATTAATCACAGGCAATTCACTCATTAACCATTCATCTTAAAACAGCTACTTATCCATTGCAAATGTGTTCCTATGCATGACAGCACTACCTTTTAAAATTGTGCGGACCCCACTAACTGCTTTCAAAAGATAAAACAATATACACGTAGTTTACCTTTTAAATGCATTTTCTCATTTAATAACTGCTAACCATGTTTACAAAGCTCGACTACAATAACATAGCAGAACTAGCATTCATGACTAATCGCCTGTATATATCATGGTATGTTAGCTAATCTTACTACATCGATATGTATATTCAAGCATAACCAACAAAAAAAAAAAAATGTGTGCGAATTCTCATGCCACTGTTAAAATGTTTTATATCTTGCAATACGCTGTTGTGGCGACCGCCGACAAAATGTACCTACCTGCACAACAAAAATAAAGAATTAAAAAAAAAAAATTATTAAAAAAACAAAAAAACTTGTGTGTAAAAGGGCAACTTTAAATTTCCTAAAAGGTGCAAAGTATACTGGCAGCCTAGCGTTATTACAAAAGATAAAAGGTTCACAGCTGTCTGCCTCCATTTTAGTATATACCTAGCGTAATAAAGAGAAATTAATAAATCAGCTGAGGCAAGGGAGACTTAGTAGCAGAAAAGCTAAAATTGCTCAAGCAGGAAAAGTTCTCTCTATCGGATACAAAAATTTAAAAAAATGATACACACTAGAAACCCTCAATCTCCGCCTACAGTGTTTTGTGCTAATCTAAGCACTTAATCATAGGTCATCTGGTAGCACCAAAAGGAGTAGGACAGTGTTGGACCAAAAGATGAAGCCTCTGATGAGACTAGGTGCAATTCTAGTGATGTAGGCAAATAAATAAATGTCCAATTGTAATAGGTATTAAGTGTTAATAATCAAACAAAAAGAAGAATCTGTAATTATGATATTTTGCATAAAGTATGTTGACTTTTGTTTATTTTAATACACTGCACTATAATCGTTCTATTTGTTTCTCTTGTTTATATGTAGCTTTCACCTTTATATTGGAGAATATAAACTTGGCCCATATATGTTTTTACACAATTATGCCCATTGGCAGTGGTGACTGGTATAGAGATGATGGGGGACTAGACTTTAATGCCTCGGAATTTAACTCTGTCACTTGACTTATCTGACCATGTTCTCATCACTTGATCCAGTAAACATTTTGCTTTGTTCAACAGCATAAACCTATAGATACATATATGTAGAAAACAACAACTACTTTGAAGAGTTTGAACTCCAGACCCTAATGCTGTTACTCAAGAAGACAAATTTTTTTTTTTAATTTCACAAAAATCTGGGGTGGAGATGCGCTGCCACAACTGCGCCACTGCTCATTGGTGTAAGATAACTGAAAACAGTGCATTGTTTATTTCATAAACTGATAAGTGATAAAGTGAGAATTTTTCTAGTCTGACTGTTTTGACATTTAATTTGAACTTCACTTTTATTTCTAACAAATTACTGGCACCTTTCCAAAGGAACTTTGCATTTCTTGAGTATTGGAAGGAAGCAGGTCATCTGTGGGGAGACCATCTGGTGATATAACTAACTACAAACGATCCAAGCTAGAGCCTGCTATATGAGGCTCTGGTAAATGTGAGTGGTCCTATGTAGTACCATTTATGCTTTGTATAGGATAAAAATAATGCACTATGTGGATTTTCCTATTTATGTTTTTATACAAATGTGAGATTCATTTATGTGATATTTAACAACAAATATTCAGAGAAGTATCCACGTTAAATTTTATCTGTGTTGCTGAGCACTCCCCGCTATTTGATTATTTCTTATGCAATATTTCTACCAAATTGGGTGATCGTTGGTATTGGGGGGTTGTTGCTGTGTTATAGAGCGCCTGTTACACCTTATTGTTTTTAACTTGTATTTTAATACTTAATGGCTGACTTTACCAAAAAGTTTGGAAATGAGCCATATTCCTTTATTATATGCAAGCATGGCAAAAGCCCCATTTGTGTACAGCTATATCTCTCTCCTGATATTGATTTATTCTACAGAATATAGGTTTATTTTGTTTTGACATATATGGCTCACAAGTTCTATCCGATATTTCATTCTCATGACATATGGATGATGCGTCTGACAAATACATTTGCTGCCAAATCCTAGTATATACCTTTTAAGTAAATAAGACATAAAATATATTTTAGTACCATGTGAAACTCAAAATCACTGTTATTACTTTTGATCTCATACTGAAAGATTAAGGCTTGCTGTGGACAACCTATATTTTCTACTAAGTATCTCTGTGGTGTATCTATTGAATTGTAATATGTTGTGTGGTTTTAGTGTCGGCCATTTAAAGTGTGTTGGAAACAGAGGTCTATTCACTAAACTCAAAGTATTTAAAGGGACACTCCAAGCACCAAAACAACTCCATCTAAATTAAGTTGTTATGGTGCCAAGAGGCCTCAGGCAGCACTTTTACCTCAAGGGCTTAAACTGTTCATGAATGGTTTAACCCCAAGTTGCCTCCAATGGTGATGTCCACTCCCCTCAGGTGGCATCTGGCTTATGAATTTTCACATTCAGGAAGTGCAGAGTGTCCCCTAGTAGAGGCGCCGCTGATTGGCTGATGGCGGTCAGCTGATGCTCTAAGCCAATAAGGGACTCTATTCAGTAAACTGGCTTAAAAAAATTAGTGTAACAGTGAAAATGTGTAAGCCCTCCCCTGGCAAATGAGGCCCCCGGGGGCCATGTGATCGCTCTCAAAGAGCAATCACATGGCCCCCTATAGCTGGCTGTGGATCTGCCATCAAGGGGACTGTCTGAAATGTCAGACAGTCCCCCTGCTGGTGGGAAGTGTAAAAAAAATGATTAAACATGTTTTAAAATAAATCAAATGTATATGTATACGTAGTGTATTTTAATGTTAATATAAGTACATATATTAATCTTAAAATACACTTAGAATGACGTTACATATAAGATATATATATTGTATATATAATACATATATATATTTTATGTTTATATATACACACGTATAATTACAATATTAAATAAAATAATAAAATAAATAAATAAAATATATATTTTTTAATTTAAATAAATTATATATACATATGTAATCTCATTCTAACTGTATTTTGTTATTAATACATATATATTGGTAACAAAATACACTTAGAATGACATTCTACATATATCTATATATAAAATACAAATAACTGCAATTATTTATATATAGATAAATATATATAATTACATAAATAACTACATAAGTATACACGTAGAATTTAAATACATATATATGTGTGTATATAAATATATATAAAAAAATGTACACGTATGCTTAAGTAATATTTTAACATAATTATGTGATTTAATTAATTAAAATTTGATTGACGTGCCTGGCAACCCAGACAGCAAGTACAGAGAATTAAATTCGTACGCGCTGTTATTAACCCTGTAACTTTCCAAGACCCATAAAACCTGTAC